TGTCTGCAAAAGGTGCAAGGTTTGTCGCATGTACAGCAGAATTACACAGACAGACACAGACAGAGAGACAGACAGAGAGAGAGAGAGAGAGACAGAGAGAGAGACAGACAGAGAGAGACAGACAGACGGACAGACAGACAGACAGACAGACAGACAGACAGACAGGCATGCAGAAGTGAAGAACAACCTACAACGTGCAGACATTCACACATGCAGAGCTACAGACCTGCATGCATGCATACATACACATACCTGCAGACAGGCACACATACATACCCACGCACAAACACACTGCAGCTGTGCATGCAGAGTCACAGACACCTCCCTCCACACGTCCGTGCCTGCAGCGCATGTGGCGTGGGTGGGGTCGGTGGGGTGGGTGTGCTGGGTTGGCTGGGTGGGTGGGTGCGTGGGTCAGTGTTTGTAAGTCATGGTTAAGCTAGGTTTCGATCCGGACTTCTCCCATCCAGCCCGAGGGTGAAAGCCATGACTTAGTGGACTCTATTTCAACAGTGCATCACTGTCAGCTTTTTCGAATTATCTCTTCCCGAGCCCGAGGCTACAGCAGTGACGATTACAGCCGCAGCCGAAGTAGCAGCTACAGCCGGAATCGCAAGAAGAAGAAGAGCAAGAAGGCTGGAACGGGCCCCAAATACGCCTCTCTGCCGTCCCAGTCAGCTTCAGCTTTGGTAGGTTCCCTGCACAGTGCAGCACAGTTGGGAGGAGCACGATGAGGACAGCAAGCCGAAGGCGAAGGAGAAAGAGAAGGAAAAGGAGAAGGCTATGCCGCGATGGGGCGGGGCTAGTGGAAGTTTGGATTTCAGATCTTCACTTAGGTCGAGGCAACTGAGACGAGTCATACCTGCTGCCGAGTGCGCAGACTGCTCCCCGACACGTCGAGGCAAAGGACAAGGAGAAGGACAGAGCCAAAGATAGGGAGAAGGAGAAGCATGAAGATAGGGAGAAGGATGCCAAAAAGACACTCAGAAGCATTGCTTGACACTCTGTGGCATGCTCAGACCGGCTGATTCGCTTTTTGGCCCAGGAAGGCCAAGAAACAGAAGGCCAAGACCTGCCCTGTAGCCTTTGCCAGTGGCTTCCTGTTCCAGTCGACAGGGGAAGTCAGATGAAGAGCCGGATGGGGACAGGGCGAAGGAGAAGCACAAAGACAAAGAGACTCTCGGCCTCTGAAGAGATCAAAAACAAAATTGAAAGCCACAGCTCCTTCGTCAGCTCATGAAACCGTAAACAGCTCCACAATGTTGGGCTGCGCTCAGGAAGACGAAGGATGAAGACTCCGGCAAGAAGCGACTGGGACAGAAGTGCGAGGCTATGTTGGGCATTTCTCGTTGTTGATTTCGTACAAGGAAGAGCAAGAAGGACAAGTCAAAGGACCAGTTTTGCAGTGAAACAATGACCGTCATGCTTCTTTCTTGGACAGGCAGGCCTTGTTCAATCACACGATTGAGTTGCACACCGGTGTTTGTTCTTTGGGTATCTCCACTGATGGCATCGGGAGGAGTGACGGAAACTGCGTCGTCTCCTTCCCATCGCCGCAGGAAGCCTCGCAGTGGCTTCTGTGTGTCTCTGGTGAGGATGGGCTTCGTTTCGAGCGATGGCTTCTCCCTTGGAATTCACAGCCATTACACCTAGAACAGATATTGTGTGACATGCCCTCTGCGGAGAAGGTGTGTGTCCAGGGAGACAATGGATCTAACAATTGCCGCTAGCCGAGCCCCGAGGATCCCTAAATCCGGAGCATCTGGAGCCTTCGAGGAGCCTCCATGGAGCCTCAGGTCCAGGAGTTCTGGGTGTAACTTGATCGGATGCATGGCTCTTGCTTGGACTGGGATTCTCGGCAGTACCCGCGACCTTGTCACAAGAAGTGTGAGAGGACTGTCCAGACGACAAGAAAACATGCGATGAAGCAAATCCGATCACACTTAGACTTAGACCGTCTCCCTCCGTTTCAGGGCAGAGTCAGAGTGTTGATGTCCTCTCACAACTCTTGCTGATTTGCTGACGCGGCAGGTTTGCAGCCTGTTTGCCAATATGTCAAAATGTCCGAGCCAGCCGACTTGCCGACCTCTTGCACGAAGAAGCGGTGCTGGTTGCCTGCTACTTTTCACCGCTAGTGCTGTGAAGCTGCGAGAATGCTTTGCTTATGGCTGATTTTTGCGTCAAGCTGCCGCTAGCAGTTTCTCGGTTCATGTTTAGATGGTTATGCTACTTTATGTAAGTAGTGGTTTGGCCGGAGAAGTCATATTCACCGAGAAGAATGTGAGTTTGTCACCAGCATAGGGCCTAAAGGATAATCGGCCCAGCTGGAGTTAACTGTTTTTTCTCCTTGCGATTGATTTTTTGTCTTTCTGTGCGGGATCCTTTGATCCTGATCCAGAGAGCACGCAGCTTGGAGGCAATGAGGCACATGACCACATGGGTGTGCATTCAACAGATCGATTTGAAGGAGCTGGCTCCAGGTTCGAACGCTCGTGGCCTTGAGCCATCTTGAGCCAGCAGCAGCGATGCTGCAGAGTCTCCAGCCTGCCGGATCGAGACTTTCAACACTAAACATCGGCTCAACCAAGTTTGCAAGCAAAAACCGCGTGCCGTGTGGTCAAGATGGAGATCTGCGTGAAGTTGAGGCCCAGCAGCAGCAAGGCATCACAACGCTCCGACGGTGTCTCGGCTGCAGGTGACGCAGACAAATCCGCTTGCAGACAGCAGGTGCTCAGTTCCGAGGCTGATCGCGAGCAGGCGATGGCTGACCTGGCAGGATATGCGGCTGCGAGGGGCCAGGACGAAACTGGTCAAAAACTAAACCAATACCGGGCAGTTGTGAAAACTAGCGTGGTGCAATGGCGAAACTCCCGAGATCTGGACGCTTTTGGGGGCTAGGAGGAAGCGCCAGAAATGGCCGAAACTCCACGAAGCCTCGCCACCTGGCAGAGCTGAGGGCTGTTCACCGTGCTTCTCCGTTTAAAGTTTTACCGTTTGCTTGTGCTGGCCTCTGGCCTCTCCTGCTTGGGGTCTTAGGATCTTCCGCAGTTCCTCAACATGTTGCAGTGCCGGGACGCTGCCCAACGTGTGGCGGCCCTCGAATCCGTGAACCATGGGATCTTCCAGACGGACACGAACCTCTTCCGACGCTAGGCAACATGGGTCAGCAGGGACAGGCCTCTTGATCTTCAGACAGTTTGTTCCGATTGCGCCTTGAATCCAGCTTCGTTGGTTGCAACTCAGGCAAGGTCGTCCCAATGCTTCTCGCTGCACATTCCGGGTTGACGCTTAGAATGCTTTTTCGCAGCTTTGACCGTTAGCCTCGCAGGAGATTGAGCTCTACGGTGCTGAATGCGTACTTGAAACTCGTGTTCTCAACGCCATTGATGGCCCATAATTGCTAGACTTTCCGCAGGCACAGCCATTTCCAAGTAGCACGTACGTCAACGTCTTCCTAAAGCGGTGAGCGTGCTCTTCGATGCGGCCTTTGCCCAAGAGTCGCGATCTAAGGCTGAACGACCCCGTCTGGGATGTCAAGCGAGCTGCAGTTCACTTGCTGCTTGTTTCATGTGTGGTCCAGGCTTCCAAGAGGCCTAACTTCTCAGTATTTGGGATCATAGTTTGTAACGGTGCCACCAGCTTTCTGCTATTGGAGCTTTGGCCTCTGCAGGCTGTCTGAGCTTGGGCCACTCTTCGACGACAGCACGACCGAGAGCTTGAACCGATACTCTGACTGCACGCTTGGGTACCTGTATGGTATGCAATCCAGGGTGCGAAGACAAAGGTTTGGACTCGAGCTGGCTCTATTGCCAGCGAAAGCACTCAGGACTGCTTTTTCACTATGACCCAGTGGTGCAGTTAATGATTGCGTATGTGCTGAAGAATGTGGAGGGTGCCGATGACTACTTCAGACAGGTATCCCGGTCGTGCGATTGCATTTCATTCTCAAGGTTCTGAACTTTGAATCTCATGCTCAGATGCCTTGCCAGAGCGTATGGTCTATTTGCTGAGGTCTTGTCCGACCGCACGATAGCTCAAGCTTCTGTGGGCCGGTTTGGAGGAATTCTAGAGCAACTGGGCTGTAGCCAAGCAATCTGGTGGTGATGCCTTCCTTGTGCAGAGTGAAGGTGTGCTTTTGTCATGGTCGGAGGTTCCTCGGCGCAGATTTCAAAGATGATCGGGAGATTGTTATGACGGCCGTGTCGCAGGATAGGGAAAGATTCCCTCCAGTGAGGTGACATCTCTTCGTAAGGCAGCTCTTGTTCGTCAGCGCGACTAGTACTATAGGTTGGCAGCGTGTGGCACTGTGCCTCGGAAGCCTAATCCGGGGTACAAGACAGCTTGCATCCGTGCGTCGGGACGGGAGCGTGAGCGCGCAGGACGGTCGATCATTGAAGCGGCCTGGCCCATCACATACGCAGTTGCTTTATGTTGTCTGTCTGGCGGATGCCGAACGTACCACATGGCCCTCTACAGCACGCGAGCGAAGAGGGCAAGCTTTCCGAGGCATGCCAAGCAGGATTTCCGGGACGATGAAGAGGTCGTGCTCGCTGCAGTTGCTTGGCCGCCTCACAACCTCACAACCGTCGTATGTAGTGAAAGAGTCAAGACTACACGGGTTGGGCTCCGTTGGAGCACCATGGTGAGAGCAGGTTGCTCAGAATGGAAGCGCAGTACACTGTGCAAACCAGGCCGGGGCAAGCTTCGCCATGATCCTTAAAACTCAAGCTTCTCTGCAATGAAGCCCGCTTCCCAGCAAGAATGCAGACGACACTTCTTGAAGCATTTAAGTAGTTGAGGAAGTAGTTGCTGCGACAGTTGCTTGTTCCTGCACTCTCGTCAGACCGTGGCTTTCGGGTTTTCTTCAGCTGTGTTCTGGTGTATGGGCTTTAGGTTGAGATGGATCAAAGACGCACCAAATGAACGGATCGTCACCTGAAGTTCAGCAGAGTATGCCGATGTCTGTGTAGGAATTCTTCCATGGATGCAGCAGAGTTTGCCACAGCAAATACCGTCCATTTGGCACAGAAGGGTCCATGCCGTGCATGTCCATGGCCGGTGCCCTGTCGGGCCAGGGTTCGAATTCTCACGAACACACCATCCATGCAGCCTTCTGCTGTGGCAGCAGGACATCATCGACAGACATGCAGGTCTCCGCGCTCTTCGCGAGGGACGAGGTTTCCAACAGCTGGATGGAGTCTAAAGCCCTGCTGGCCCAAGCATTGCCGGTATACTCTCTACAGCTGTTCTCAACGGCACATTTGGAGGTATTTCCCTCTGCGGTGACTACCTGGTGATGAACCAGATTGGCAAAGGTGTCTATGGTGAGGTCACCAGAGCCGAGCACATGTGTCTGGCTCGCAATAGGTCCTGGTTGACACTGAAATCGGTCGAGGCGGTGATGTGCCATAGACTTCCGCAGCCCAGAGGATCACCGAGAACGTCGTGGCCATAAAGAAGCTGCACTATGACCAGGAGGATGCTTCTTGCCCAGATGCCAGGAGTCGCCAAGAGGCTAAGTTTTGGGTTGTAGCTTGCGTTCCATCGCTTCCGAAAGCTTCCGAGAGATCTTTCTGGATGTGTTTGAAGCTCCAGGGCTCAAGGGCCAGCAAAGCGAGGTGTTGAAAAACGGCATCTCGCCACAGACTCTCCGTGAAGTGGCACTGCTGCGCAAGTTGAAGCGTCTTGGCAGCTCTGAGTGTCTGTGAGGCTTTGGAGTGCAGATGTGGCATCGTGTCGATGCGAGTTCACATCCATCGTGTCTCAGTCAAGGCATCCCAACGTGGTGAGGATGATCGACGTGATGTATGTCGGGCTTTTCGTGGCTCGTCCTTCAACTGGGGGTCCAAGGCCAAGTGACAGAGTGTCAGCGCATCTCGGCAGGATCTTCGGCTCGTCTTCGATCTTCATCCGACCGACCTTCACAAGGAACTCGTTATCTTAAAACAGAATTCGCAGCGCAACTTGGACATCTTTTTGATTCCTAGACTTTGCATTTTCCTACAGCATGTGGCTTAGAACCTTATCGGTCCCAGGCATGCCAATTGAGCAAGTTAGACGATACGCGGCGAACATCCTGGATGGTTTGGAGGCATGTCACGGCAGGCGGAGTCCCGGCAATGCGTGCAGATTGTGCCTACATGTCTTGCTCAAAGCTGTGGTTGACAGGAACCTTCTCCATCGCGACCTCAAGCCGCAGAATATCCTCCTTGGTGACGACGGCCAGCTGAAGATCGCAACTTTATCGAGAAGGAAAGCATGCTCCCAATGTTTCGCGGTGCCCAACCAAACAAAGTCTCTCTCTGCCTTGGTGCCCCAAGGCAGACTTTGGCTTGGCACGATCCATGGTGTTGCGCCCGTGTACCACGGAAGTCATAACGCTGTGGTACAGGCCTTGCTGAGCGCATCCTGTGTTGTGTAGTTCGCAGCATAGGTGTGTAAAATACCCTGGAAACAGCTGTGCCGGCTTGTAACCCGCTTTTCTGAACGCCGAGCCTGGCAAGTACCACAGGTGTCCGGAACTATTGCTTGGCGAAAACCGGTATGGATTTGAAGTGGCAGCTTGGAACTAAAACCTGCGGCATCTGCACACTTTCTTTATGGCCATGCAACTGAAGATTGTTCGGTGTTTTAAAATCGAACGCTTTGAACCCCATAGGACTGCTGGTCGGCCGGCTGTGTGATCGCGGAGATGTCCACCAGTCGCGCCTTATTTCCAGGCCTGGCACTTTCGTGGGCTGCTATTCAAGGAAACGTGGCCTGGCCGTCTCAGGCTGTTTGTCAGCGTTTCATGCACGCGGCGAAAGAGAGTTTCAGGGATGAACTCTGGCATGAACGTTACTTGTGATTTTGTGATCGCTCACATCGGCAGGAAAACTGGCAGCACTTGGCGGGCAGGAAGCAGCAATACACAAGCGTGAGGGGGAAGGGTGGGCGGGTTTGGCGAGCAAACGAAGTCGAGCTGTCGCAGCTTTGCCACATGCCACTATGCGATCCACGAAGTCGAAAGGCAAAGTCACGTGCGTGGTAATTACTTGTAATTTGCGGTAGCAAAAGCACCACAGAACTGTTTGCAGGATTTTGCATGCTGAGTCGATGGGTGCCAGAACTCTCAAACTTCAAACCGAAAAGGAGAGAAGATTCTGACACCTACCACCAGGAAATCGGAGCCTAGGAATCTGGAGAGCATCACTCAATCCTCCGACTTTCGCAACTCCTGAATGCCGCCGTTCGAGAGTGTTGCTTAGTGAACGTGAATACTCCCTGCAGTATCTCAGGATGATGCGAAGGTCAATATGCTTCAAAGGAGGTGCAGCTGCAACGGGAAGCTACAACGTCAAATGGTGGCGAACAGGATCCGAAGCAATGAACCTCTAGCGCAGAAACGAAATGAGAAGCTCCGGAACTCTCAGAGTCCTGGGCTTTGCTTGTCTGGCACGGCGAGGAATCTGTGCATCGGCACGGCTTTGCGATCAGGTTCCAGTAGCATTCACTGTGAAAGCCGCGCGGAGCGCAGCCGAGGTCGAATCGACTTGTTTCAGTCTCGCCTTGTGTCGTTTCTCATTCCTATCATGGTTTGTGGTTCTGGAGTTTAGTTTCGTCCGTCGTCGTCGTCTCGCTGATCAGGCGACATGCATCCCCCCAAGCCTAGTTGCATGTGGCTGGTAAGATGTTCCACAGACACTTATTCGTGGAAGTCTATGTTGGTTGTAAAGGTATTGTTGTTTTGATTGTGTTTTTGTATGTTTTTGTTTTTGTGGTTTTCTAGGCTTTGCTCTTGTTTTCCCTTTCTACCTCCTGCTTTTGCTTGCTTGTAGTGTTATGTGTGTGTGTGTGTTTTTTTGCTTTTGCTTTCTGCTTCTCTGCATTTCAAATCTCTGCTTGTCTGCTTCGCACTTCTGTTCCTCCGCTTTTCAGCATTTCCGCTGTTCTTTCTGTCTTCTGCCTCTGTTTGCTTCTCGCTTTCTGCGTTTTCTTGATTTTGCGCTTGCTTTTATGCTTTGCCGCTTTCTGCTTAGCCGCTTTCTGCTTCTCTGCTTTGCTGCGCCGCTTTTGTGCTCACTTTTCTTTTTCCGCCCTCATCCTTCTCGTTGATCCTGTCCACACTTCTGGTTTTATCCTGCTCACTAAATTCACTAAATGAAATCTGAGGCCCACGATAGCTGCGACCACCACCTACTACTACTGCTGCTACTACTACTGCTGCTGCTACTACTACTACTAGTGCTACTGCTAATACTACTGCTACTG